TCTCTGGGCCATGGCTATAGGAATGGCACGTCTGTGAAAGGCCAACCTTTTGAGTTGCTAATTAGATCACTAGCAGTTTATTAAATAAATAGCTCCATCTGTAATACTTCAGACCCTAAGGCCTCAAATGGTCTATTTTTAGCCTCAAACTTCAAGGTTTACTTTCCCATGGAATTCTAAAGATTTTCTTTAGAAATGACTAAGATTTTAGAAATTTCCCTTGTAACTCTGTAGCAGTGTGTCATGTATACAAGCTGTCTGAAAGTGCCTTTGACGTTCAAAAGCTCTCTGATCACCTATCCTGGGTCTTTGAAAGAAAGGTTATGTGCGGAATCACCATTGTTCTAGGCCCATTCACTGCTCTCCAACCTCCAAAATGATCAAATGCTATGTGTCGTTTACCGGGGTGACTCAAAACTAGTCTCTGCTTAATAACTTCCTCCTGGAAGCTTTTCCTGACCCCCAACAAAGGTTAGTTTCCTCCTGATACACCCTCAGAGCTTGTGCTTTAAGGTAAGTACTGGTTTAACTGTCGTCTCCACTAGGATGCAAATTCTATCAGGTTCAGGATTAGGTCAGTCTTGTTAGCCACTATATGCCCAGCATCTAGCAGTGCTAGAAAGTCAGTAAACATGAATGGAATAATCAAAGCAAAGGCTTCGTTCCTTCCATCTGAACCCTTACGCAGCATTCCGTATTACAGAAAACAGTTCACTCTCTTCCTTAAAACTTCCCTCTCGTAGTAGGAGCTCTCCTGTTACCCTTTCCCCACCTTTCTCATTGCTCTTCCAATGGCTTCTTTCCCTCTGCCTTAACTTTATGTTCTCTCCCTACGCGCCAGCCTAGATCATCTTCTCCCTGCCAGCGTACAGTAGGCACTTGATAATATGTGTTGAATGAATCAAAGAACATCATGCTTCAAACTCCCCTTGGGAAATGTTATCCACATCCATAGCTTCCATTCTTACGTTAAACTGAATATCTAAATATATCTATCCCTAACGTAAATTTCTCACCTGAGCAACAGACCTGTACCGCCGTGAGCAACCTATGTCAATACGCTCACAACTAAACCTAGGATTCCCGATGAAACACAGCTGATTAATCACACACAATTATCTCCTTTCCCTCCCCAATCTCTGTGAAATGATAGCGAAGGAATTTAAGGTACAAACCCACAAAGGCAAAGTCACCTCCCATTCTTTCTTCACTTGACTCTGACTGCAGCTTCATACCAGCTTTTCTTATCATACAGAGCATATAGGAGCGAAACAGAATATGGTTCTTGAGCTTGGACTTTGACATCTTGAGCTCTAATCTCTCTTCTGTTATTCACAAGGTATAAAAGCAGCATAACTTCTGTCTCAAGTTTCCTCGGCTGTAAAATGGGGATAATAAATGTAACTATCTCAAAAGGTTACTGTGAGGATTAAGAGTTAGAACACACAGAAGCGCACAGAATACTGCCGGACATACAGAAAGTATTCAGTAGGCGTTTGCTATTGTGGTAATGACCTCCCTCCATTGTACCAGATCCAGTACTGAAGGCTCGTTCCTGCTCTGACTTCTCTCTTAAACAGCACTGGACAGAGTTCGCTTCTGACTCCCACTTCTAACCCTTCTCCTGCGGTGGTTTCTGTGACGTCACACCCCACCGGGTTTCTGTCTGCTCCGCTGGCTGCCCCTTCTCAGGACCCATGCTGGCTGCTCAGTTTCGAAATCCTGGAATACTCATCCCTCTCGTTTTACTATCTAAACGCTTCCTAGGCAACCTGGCCCAGGTCCATGCTTTTACCACCTACGTTACCGACGTTGCTTAAATTTATAGGTCCTCTCCTGGCTCCTCTGAGCATCAGGCACAAACACCTAACTGCCCTTGCCACTGAGATATTAAGTTGGCACCGCAAATCTAACAGATCTAGGACAGAATTCCTAAGGACGCCCCTCTTCCCATCTCAGCCCATATACCTGCTCCTATCACATCTTCCAATTTGTTATACATAGTTATCATCATTCACTCAGTTGATCAGGCCTAAAATCTAAAAGTCATATCTCATTTTTCCTCCTTCCCTAACTTGACATCCAAATGTTAACAGTCCTGTTTGCTCTACCTGTAAAATATATACCAAGTCCACCTCTGTTGTATACCATGTCACGGCTGCAATCTTAATCCAAACAATCATGGTTCCTTTCCTGGAGACTGCAAAATCCTCCCAGGGAGTCTCCCTGCTTTGATTCTGTCTCCAACAAGCCAATTCCCTCACAGCAGCTGAAGTATCTCAAACTAGGAACCAGATCATATCATTTCTCTGCTTAACACCTTCCAGAGGCTTCCGAATACAATTAGAATAAAATCTGAACTACTGAACTCAGGATTGTGTATGATCTGGCCCTGCCTGACTTCCCAACCTTAACTCCTACTGTTTTCCCCATCAGGATCTCCACTACAGGCAGGCCGGCCTTTTTCAAACACACCAAATTCATTTACGCCTTACAGCCTTTGTTTCCTCTACCGGGGTATCTTTCACAAGATTTTAGCAAGCCTAGCTCAGCGTATGTTGCCACCTCCGAGAAGCCCATCCATCTAAGTAGTGGGCCCTTCTCCTCCACCCAGTCACTGTTTATCCCAATGCCCTGCTTTACTTTCTTTAGAGCACCTACAGCCAAATAAATTACTTGTTTACATGGTTAATATCGGTTTCCTATCAGTGTCATAGAAGATCCCATGAGGGCAGCAGGGACCCTCTTATTCACAGCATCTAGAATACTAACTAGCACATAGTAGATATTCGATAAATATGCATTGAACCAATTTGAAAAAAATGAAAACAATGTGTATTGAATTAATTTGAAAAAAATGAAAACAATGTGAACACTTTTACTTTTTTTAGCGTAGGGGTAAATGAAAGCCCACATTTAGCACTGAGAAGTTAACTTATTTTTGGTATATCATCATTCAAGATTGGTATGCTAACCAGTTATTATGTAAGTCAGTTATCACTAAAGAAAAAGAATATTGGTACATCAGAATTATCATATAAAAAAACAAATTTGCATTTTTAGGTATTTTCACTTATCATGTTATAGCCCCATGATAAGTTTCTGAATTTGATAAAGTATTGAAACTGAAAACGATGAGACACTTGCCAGATAAGGAACCGTAAAGCCAGGACTCAAACACAGACTCTGGTCTACAATACTTGTGTTCTTTCTATCAGATCATGAATTTGTTGACATTACAGGTTACCTAGATATTTCAGAGCAGTTCCAATCAAAGTAGGAGTAGAAGTCAAAGAAGTATTCTAAAAACCTTAATGGAAGTTTCAAACGTTGTAATGTAATCCGTAATGCCTAAAATATCAACTATATTGACTTTAAGAAAAATTGATTCAGGTTAAAAACACTAATCTCCTGGTAATGTATGTTGATTGGGTTGAAGAAAAATGAGATTTTAATAATAAATGAGTTTGGTAGTCAAAGTCTTTTTAAAATGTATCATTGGTGTGGCAAAATAGGACCGCACGAGCCTACACACAGGACCGAGTCCACATTCTACAGCATCCAGAGCCCTTTTCCTCTGACCCCTGCTTCTCTCTCAGCTGATTTTCACCACATGTCCATGTGTGGTCCACCTTATAACCATCTAGAAAATTCCTGCTTAACTTTTACCAGCTCAAATGTCATTTCCTCTTTGTAGCCTTCCTTAATCCCTTGGCAAACTGAACTACCTCTTATCTATGTTCCCAGATAAACTCTGAACATAATTTTAAGCATAGTGTATTACAGCATTTATTCTGTAACATGTTTCCCTGGCCAGGCTGTTCATGTACGCTGAATTAAAGAAATATACAATTTAAATTCCCAAATCAATATGCAAAACATGTCACAGTAAATGTTCAATTAACATTGGTCAAACTAATTAATTACTGATTGAATGAAAAGTCTTATAGGATTATGGCTATAGCTAAAAGTTGCCTAAATGATTTAATCCACTGTGGGAAATGGAAGGTTTCTTGGATATAATAACTATATATGAAACCCCCAGGAATTTAGGCCTATGTATACTATGATTATTGCACACAAATTTATTGCTACGCTGGCAAACTCTACATTCTCTCTATATAGGTCAATGTACTCAAGTATAACGATCATCTGTCAGGCTCACTGTATCTAAGAGGTTCTGAGAAAAATGGTCAGACCTCTAAATCTCACCAAATATTTTGGCTCAACAAACCCTACCAACTCCTCCCAAACTGCTCATTGCTTAGAATTTTCCTAGATTTCTGACGACAAGAATACCCTTCAAAGATTCTGTTTCTATTTCCTTGCGTTGATCAACACCACTGCAAGTTAATCAGAAGAAACTTGGCAGATGACTAAAACAGCAGAAACCAGAAATATATTCTAAATAGAAATCACTTTTAAATGAACTTACTGACTTTATATTGCCACAACAAATTTTCATTTCTTGATGATCCCCTAAAAAAAGATACTTTTAAAATTAAAAAAAAAGTGCTGAGTGCTATGTTAGTAATCCTTTGAACTACTATCCTTAACATTTGTTCATTAATATATGTAATCTCAACTTCAGCAAAACATCACTTAACATTAAAATATAATGCACTGATAATCCAATTTCGAAATTAACTTATTATATTTAATATATAAGTATTTGTACAAAGTACAGCAAAATACTATGTGTCTCAAGATTACTAATAACAATCTAAGACCCAGAGCACAAAATTATGTTTTGAAATTTTCCTTTCAAAAACCCAACCCTCATTTCCTTGTTATAAAACATGCCTCCAGTTAGTTATTTACATAGGGAAAAATATACCAAAAGCCATCAAACAAGACTGTTTTTGATTACTCTAGGAATCTTACTCATTTAGAGTCTTCTAAGAGTTATCTTGAGCATGTAGTTTAGAAATGCTTGTTTGAACAATTTAATCTTATTATGTTCATAAACATAAACACAAACAAATAACAAGAGTATGAAAGAACACAAGAAAAATTGTTGGTTTTATTGGTATCACAGTGGTTTTAACACAAGCTAAATACAAACACAATTGTTAGATATTCAGTCACTTATCCTGCAAAACAACATGCCAAGATCAACCTTGAAGAATTTATAAGAGAAAATGCATAAAATATCTTCCTTAATTAACTCCAAAGACTCCACATGTAAATGCAAAACATCTGAAGTTGTCAATCTCAACATCAAATGTTGAACAACTTGACTGAGCAGGAGAAAACAATTTCTGATTTTAAAATTAAATAGCTACAGGTAAAAGCATGCAATGTTCCACGTCTGCTATCTTTGTATTCTGCACAGAGCTCCAAGGCAAAGATTGCTTCCGGCTTTATGAATGACCAGAGATGACGGCCTGTGTGGCTGACTTATCACAGGCCTTTTAGTCTTCTTTCCTGTTAGAGCCTTAGCTTCCGTGGAAGGGGGCACATAAATTGGTTTCCAGGGAATTGGATTACAAAAGGCTGGTTCTGGATAAGAATTTCCACTGTAAAAACCTAAAATTGTTTT